CCCGCGCAGAGAAGTGCTGAACCGCCCAGGTCGATCTGAGAGCAGAAGCTGTAGAGCGTTGTTTTCTGCCTTGGGGTAAGACCCATGTCCTTGGCCTTCTTTTGGTAGTAAAGCAAGGTCGAAATGATGAATGCGGCGCCGATGGGCATGAGGATTGCGAACATGCCGATGCCCCATCGCCAGCCGATACCACCGGGCTTGACGACGTCGTCGACAATGAAGGCAGCTGCCCAGGGCGTGATGAGAAATGGGAAGAAGGAGAAGCTGAGAGCAAAACCACGCCAGCGAGCCGTAGTGATATCGGCAATAACGATGTCGTTCATGATGTTTGTACCTGACTGGCCGACGACGTAGAATACAACGCCTGCAGCATAGGCGTTGAAAGTTGTTGATGTTGCCATGAGGATGTAGCCCAAGACATAGAAGGATATACTCATGATGTAGGTTTCTCCTCGGCCGATGACGTTGGATAGCTTGGCGACTGGCGGTTTGATAACAGCGAAGACGATACCGCTGGCGGTGCTTAGGGTTGCTAGCTTGGAAAGAGCTGAAAAGGAAGACGTCGCATAGTTGTTGTATATGTAGACAGTGGTGTTGTCGATTTCGCTTTATGATGGTTAGCCAGGTGGATCAAGGGAAAGAAGCCATTGAGCTTATGACCAAAGGAAAATATGGTACTTACTACACAATCATCACCAAAGCTAGGCTAGTATAGATGTTAACAACAACATGCATATAAGGCAAGTGGTAGTATGGGCTTACCCGACAATAACAAGCCATCTTCCCTTCTTCCCCCACAATGTCTGAGCAGCTTGAATAGTGCCGACACCCGACTCAAGAGGCTCGGAGGTGTCGAACTTTTTGACATGGTCGTGATCTTCAGTAGTGTCGTCCGTCTTCCCGGCCATCTCAACATCCCGAGGCGCTTCCGATGCAGCTATATCCCCGTTGGCGGGGTCTGCCGACGAGGATCCCTCCGCATGGAGGCGTCCCCTCAACGACGTGACAAAGCCCATTGCTTCTCTCTCTTCTTCAGACGTCGGCAGTAGACTCGTCCGCTCGTCACTGTCGTACGAATACGTACGACCGGTTCGTCGGCCCATGCTGGGTGAACTGAGAGCAGATGCGAAGACCTTTAACTATTTTTGAGTCATGCCCGCACTGCAGAAACTACCGCAAACTTCTTGGCCAAGGTTCAATGATTATCAGTTGAGACGGCACCCTGAACCTTGTTTGGAAGCAATTCGAGAAACAAAAAAAAGCACAGATGACTGGTCGACAATTGAAAACATCGGCTTAGAATTAACCGACAAACCTCCCATCGACAGATGGATTCTAAAGGCTGTGCTTACTTTACCTTTGCGGGAAGGCTGTTATTGTTCTTCGCGGTCGTTATCTTGCGCCCACCGGCCAATTGCTCGCGCGGGGTCGGCGCGGAGAGGCGAGGAGCCTATCATATTGGGGACATTGTCATCCCTCTTGCATCCTCCGAGGTGTCGTGTGATAGCACTCGGTGATAGCGTCTGGACGAGTCGGTATCCGAAGCTATCTGTACATCGTCCGATGTATGGGGTAGGATCAGGCACCATGTCTTCCCTTACAGTAACGATGTGCGATGGGAGGACCCAGGTGCTTCTAGACGTTTACCATGTAGAGGATGGGGATGCTCGACCCTATGAGGATCACAAACCGGTGGGATTCTTGGTGTTGATCTACTGTTGGCTTTGAGATTAGGTGCTCGGCAAATATGGACCGACCGGCTGGGTTAGACCCTGAAGCCAGTTTCCAAAATGGCTCCACTGATTCCCCCGAAGCCGCTCGCAATTCAAGGTGGGAATCCCCCCGATGTCATCGGCGACCGAAGATTCGACTCTACTCAGATGGGGCCGCCCGCTCCGTCATTCTGGATCCGCCCGGCCGGTCAACCTTTCTTGGGTTTAAGGTAAACTGCCACAGGAGGAGGATGTCACCTCAAGATCTCGGGGGACCGTAGGATTGGCTCTGAGACCCGTGTCACTTGATCTCAAAAGCGCGGGAGATGGCTTGCAATTTAGCGTCAACGTGGCCAAATGAGATGCCCAGAAACTGAATCAAGGGTGCCGACGCCCTGCAAACTCTCTTCGCCCGACAGCCCTGATAATCAGATGAAAAAGATAATGCACAAACGTTTGGGGGATCAGCACAGCACAGCTGCCGCAGCACCCCTACTTTCCCCCCTTATCTACCCTTGATTCGTACGAGCCAAGACTGGGCTCACTCGAGAGACCGCTCACGCACAGGACAGCGCTAATCCTAAACAAGCCAGCAAGATACCGGCTTTCACAAGAGTCGTGTTTGGCTGCTGAGTCGGTGATCCGGGAACCATGGGACCCCCACAGAAAGATCAGCTGGGCTCATTGTGAAATACAGCCGGTCCGGGTAGCTCAACGTTTCCTTATCCCCTTTCCCTCGCTGTCTGACTGGAATCACTCCCGAGGCTATCACCAAGCCGAACATCGTGCTAAACCGCCATGGACAGCAAGATTCCCTCAGGATTTCCAGGGCCCAAAGAGGCTATCAGGTCAGGGAGCAAGTGTAGAACAGCGGTCACCGCTGCTTTATCAGTACTCGCTGTTACGGCGCTTATCAGAGGGAACTTCTTCCCGAGTCCATGGTTCCTAGCCCGGAGCGGAAGCACATCCAAACAAAGTGCTGGTTCAGAATGGACCTGGTCAAGCGTACGTCGGAATACCAGTCACGAAATTGATCTCGAAGAACTGACAAGCTCTACAGATCAAGCCGAGTCGGACCCTGGAGTGGCACAGCTGCTTCGAGAACGGAGAATATGACTGCGCTAGACTAGACGTTAGTGCCCGAGAAGCCGTCTCCACAAAACTCCCAGCATGTCTAACAGAACATCTCTCAGGTCCCCATGGACTGGCAAGAACCGTCTGATGACCACAGAGTTGTACTCGCGATTACGAGAATCCGGGCAACCGACAAACTTGACTATAGATGGCCAGTCATCTTTAACCCTGGTGTAAGCAAACTTGTCACGATCTCTTCCCAAGACATCAACGGTGCGCTTAAACCTGTATCCAGGGTCCCGGCGGCTCAGGGGTTTGGTCCCTGAAAAACCATGGCAAAATGCTGCAGGAGATTATTGGTGTAAACCACGTAAGTTTGCATAAGTACCGATCCCGTTAGGATTCTTCGTCCGGAAAATCTGACGATATGCAGGACCTCATCAGTTTCGATCCCAGAGGTGGTAAGTCTTTTCTTCCAAGATCTAAAATGTGGACAGTCGCTCACATTCTGGGACAGTTGGCGCATCCATCCCCAGAATCCAATGCTGGTCAACACCGCAACAGCGCCAAAATTGGGGTCTACAAGACCCTGGAGTTCTCGACTCCCACGAAAGCATCGTCGGAGAACTTTTTGCCAGGGCGACGGCATACTCTCAGGCATGCGAGAGCGCGATGAAAGCGTCCGGTATACTCGAACACTCCAGCACCACCCCGACCGCCAGGGACATGCTCGAGATTGTGTACCAGACCGGGTACAGCAAGCTCAAGTACTGGGGCTTCAGCTACGGCACCATCCTCGGCGGCGTTTTCGCGGCCATGTATCCGGACAAGGTAGAACGCCTGGTCAGCGATGGCAACGTTGACTACAGAGAGTGGTTTAACTCGGAACACGTCAACTTCATTCGCGACACGGACAAGGTTCTCTTCGCCTTTTATGAGTTTTGCTATCAAGCTGGGCCCGAAAAATGCGCCTTCCACGGTCCCACTTCGGAAGCCATCATGGGGAGATTCGTTGACCTGCTCAACGCTCTTAAGAGGCATCCAGTCATCGTTCCGGCCGATCCAGAGGAAGGTCCTGAAGTACCTATGCTGGTCACCTACTCCAAGGTCATGCGTCTTCTCTCGACAACGCTCTACCAGCCACTGGAGCAGTTTGAGAATTTTGCCAAGATCATTGCCGCGCTCGAAAAGAAGGACGGGCGGCCATACTACAGGCGCTATAACCCTAGCAAACCGGCCCCGGCCCCGGCTTGCGCCCCGCAGCCAGTCTCTCCGTTCGAGCCGCCCCCGGGTATCGTCGAAGGCACCGGAGATGCCTTCCCTGTCATCATGTGCGCCGATCACCCCGCTGTCAGTAACATGACTCTCGAGGAGATTCAACGAGAGACGGATGGGATACTGGAGCTTAGTCCAGGGACTGGAGCCACTGAAGTCCCGTACCAAATGACCTGCAATCAGCGAACTACGCGTCCCTGCTGGCGATTCAGTGGTCAGTACTACCAGTAATTATCAGGAGAGATCTGAGAGCGTCTATGCTGATCCGGTTCAGGGCCCTTTGAGGGCAAGACTAGCCACCCCATCTTGTTCATCGCCAACCAGGCCGACAACATCACTCCACTAGTCAGCGCTCGCAACAACTCCGCTGGGTTCCCCGGATCAAGGCTTCTCATTCAAAACTCGTTTGGCGTGAGTACATGTACCCTTCAAGAAAAAGCCGCATTCACATGGAAGGCCGACTGCGTACAGACCCGAGAGCTGATATTCTTTGTTTATAGCACACGACTCTCGCAGCCCCTTCAGAATGCACTAGAGGTCATATTAGGGCTTACTTCCAAAATGGAACACTACCCGAGCCTGATACAAAGTGCGAAGGCGACTCGCACCCATTCGGCCCCTTTGCCGAAGCCGGAGTTCGATTCTACCAGCCATCACTGTTCATGTAACTCGAACTATGCCATTTGGTATTTAGATCTAGAGACTAGATACCTAAAGTACAGTCTGCGTAGATATAGAATGCTCTTTTCTTCTTTCTTCACATTGCGCTTTCCTTCATGTTGCCACGTCGCTGGCTGGTCATCACTTAGGCCTCTCGGCTTGACTTTTCAATAGCCATTCTATTCAAGAAGAGAAATTGACTTTGGGTATTTATTTGACAACACGAAGGACCTAAGAAACTACCTGCCACAGGAAAATCTTTTCTTGGACCTCCACCACTCATTGTGCCTTATGCGTTCTTTCGGAATTCGCGGGCATCTCGTATACCATGTGGTCGTCCGGTGCCTCGTGCCTAACTGGATGTCGATCCGTAGAGCCAATCTCATGCGAAAGTGGCGGTCCCATCTCAGTGAGAGGCGACCGCGAATCCAACTCACTGACGTGGCTCCTTTCCCTCAGGACCTTTGGTTCCGCCTGGTACCTCATATGTATCTCCCCATTTCCCCCCATCTCGGCCATCGAACTCGTCTGGCTCGCCACCTGCGCCCTTTGACTTTTGCCCCTCTTTCCGTTCAACCATAAGAAAGCCTTGTCGACGGCATCCGGCGGAGAACCAGGTCCCTTCTGCTTTCTCCGGCGGCGCAACAACCATACCAACGCAAGGACCGCGCCTATAACCCCGACTGCGATGCCAGCCTTTCCTCCAGCTGTCAATCCCTTATCACCGGTGTCGAAGCTCTGGAAAACTTGCTCTTTATCCCAGGCGTCGCCCCATGTCGTGACGAACGACTTGGCCGGGTTGGTACTGATCGCTGAGTCGTCAAACTTCTTCACGATGCTCTGCTCCATCCGTGGGCCAGGAGCTTGCGCCATGTAGGTGACGTTGGATTCGTAGTCAACGGCCAGGAATGCGGCTTGGAGAAACGCGCGGCCCAGCTGCCAGAAGCCGTAGCTCGAGTTGATGGACTGGCAGGGAAAGTAGCTCGCCTTCTGCTCGACCAGCGGCGGCTCCAATGTCAGGTTGAGGAGCTGGAAGGGGACTTTGATAGTTATGTTCGTTGCGCTCGAGTCGGCCAAGACGAAACCGAGGTACGCTGACTGGTTGACAAATAGTTGGGCGCTCAAGTCAGTATCCCAGAGGTAGAGCCCTGACTTGTTATGGTAGGTCATGTGAAGATTCTCTGCTATGGCTTCGCAGATCCCCGGCGGTAGATAGATGTACGGTGAAGCTGGGTTCGGGATCACGACTGCCGACCCAGCAGCGCCGCCAACGTACTTAGTATACTGCATGCCGAGGTCTGTTGGATTCGTCCAAAAGCTCGCGTTCGACTTAATAGGATAGAATGACTGATTCCGTATCTGAAAGTCAAAGATGATGTCCCTGAGAAACATCACCGGTATCGAGTCCTGAAGTGCAAACGTGCCAACCTGACCGAGCGCCCTGTTCTGCTCATACCCGCCCAGTACTAGCGATCCAGGAATACCAAGAGCGGCACTCCCCATGTGCACGCTGAACGCGGTCCTATCAATGTCGCCTGAAATTCTGAGCTGTTCGAGGATGCCCGGACCGGCCGTCTCGTGTCTCTCGCTCCTGAGCCCGAGACCAAGTGTGCCGACCGTTGGCGCGTAGGCAGTCGTGTCTGAATTGGTAGAGCTATTCCACGACGTCGCGGCGACCAATGTCACGTTAACCTTGATTTCATGACTGGTTCCCATCCTCGAGTCGATAACCATGCCGTCCGAGGCCTCCATTCCTGCCCAGCCCGCCCCCATGAAGGCGCTGGCGAACCAGCCATCAGACCAGGCTCTCGAAGTCCCCGTCTTGAGGGTATCGCGGCGTGGCGTATAATCTCCGCCTACGGATTTCGTCAGGATCTCAGAAACACCAGAGCCTCCCGGCCAGAGAGGCATCTCAGTGTCGTTGAGCTTGAGGAGTGGCGCCTGCCATGGCCCGTCGGGACCATAGGTCCTGTTCTCGTTCGCTCCGAGATCGGTTGACCAGCGGAGTTGGATCTGCGCGCTGGCGCTGGCGAAGGTGGCCGCGGCGAGGTAAAGACGACGCAGCAGCATGGTCGACGTTTGTCAACCGTCTCGAATGATACTTTGACTGGATATTTAGGTTGACATTCGGAATTGAGTTTAGGGTCCACGCGTGAATGGTAAGAAAGGGCAGACGGAGAGACAAAGGTGTGAACAGGAGTAAGAGAATCGGGGTGAAAGTCCAAGTGTCGGGCAAAAAAGCATGCACGAGTGAGGGTCAAGCAACACCGCGCCGCATGCGAGTCTTACGGTAGCAGATAATTTGATAAAACATAAGGTGGTTTCTTGGGCAAAGGCTCCATCGCAGGCAACAGAGCTACCGGGATCCGGATCCAGATGCAGACTGGCGCCGCAATTGCCTGGCTGCCCAGGACCCCAAACCACAAGTGGATTTCAAGTTCAGCCAACAGGATTCGAGGCGTTCTTAAGTAAGTCAGGGGTTGCCCTGGTTTGATCCATCATCTAATGACGGAGATCGTGTCCGTAGGAAGGGAACACGGATAGTAGTAGGGAAGAAGAATTAAGAGATACACGAGCACTGAGAAGCCGTCTGACAAGCGAGCATCGATCGCCAATTTGGGCGCGTTTTCGTTCTCGTAAACCTTAAAACTCAATTGAAAAGGTTCCACTTCAGAGCACCACCTCCCCAACGGTGCCAGGTGAGCACGACAGCGAATATTGGCGCGAGGCTGGTCAGGGAAGGCAATCCTTCAGGATCCAACGCGGCACTGGATCTTTCAAACACGAAATTCAAGGCCTTTTTTTCATTATGCAAGAGGAACGCGGGCCAAAATGAATACCAATCCGAAGACAATCCAAAAGACTTTTGGTTTAGCCCGGATTATCCTCGAGACTTGAATCGGCGCCATCGCCGGGGCCAGTCTCCACTTATCCCCCGGTTGTTCGGAGGTGAACACGGCGCTCGGTGGATGTCGATCATCCATTTGCTTGCGTTCGAACCCGACCTATCCAGAGCGCTTCATTCATATAGATGGAAGGGTTAAAGTTTTTAGAGACCTGTAGTGCATATTTATTTCACTCTCAGTCATGAAACTAGCCCTTGGGCCATTGCTCTCGCAAGGCAGATTCCACAACGATTCAGTCGCCCTTCACCTTCCCCATCTCAATTGTGTCCGGCCGGATCGTAGAAGAGCCACGCCAACCCCACGACTTCCCGCCATCATTATCCGGGCCCTTGATACAAAGTAGCTGTTCATCCGCAAGCTGTATATGCCACTTCTGCCTACCGGCCCGCGTCTTCTTAATGCCTTTGAGTAGTCGTCTTGTCCTCGACCGCCACCAAGGCTTGTCCTGGCTTGCGATGCACCGCCGCAAAGGTATCAACAAAAAGCAGACCTGGTCCAACCTTCCCTCGGAGAGTAACATCTCACAAATCGTCAACAATCGACTCATTCGAGTGCTTCTCTCAAAGTCGAGCTTGGCTCCAGACTCAGGTGGGTTTCTTCCGGCGGCTATCGTTAGGGAGATCTTATTCTCTAAGTAGAACAATATCCAGTGGATGTTGATCTGTGACGCAGGTAAGCCGAGAATTCATTTGTGGCTGAATCAATACTACCTCGGTTTCCGAAAGGGATTCTTTGCGAAGATCCAAGTCCTTAATGGTGCCGTACTTTTCTGCCATCTTCAACAGCTGAGCCAGCGCCTCTTCGATGGACCCCTCAAGATCGGCAAAATCGCAGTAATACAACAAGACCAAGAGGTCCTTCTCAGACTCGTCAATCAGACACGTATCAGACGATCGAAAAGGAACAGGCAGGTTGTCATCTCCCGCAGAGGTAGAGCCTGCTTCCAATCTACCCACATCATTGCCTTGTGGCCCGAGAAATGGGTTCACGGCACGTGCAACTTCAAGCAGCTTTTGCGAGATGGGCCCGCGATCAGTCAATAATCGTAGTACAGTCTCTTCCGTACAGAGCGTGATGTAGTCACGAATATTGGATGCGTGGCGAGCCTCCTCAATCAAGACATCAAGTTTCTCGATGAGCGACGTAAGGTCCTCGGAGGCAACGCTGGAAATGCCCCCCGTTAGGTATTGACTGCGAATCTGCATTATTGACAGGATGACTTGACGGGTCGTCTCAGATATGAGTGGAGGTAAATGCTGGATCCAGATAGTGGTAGAAGGCAGCGTCTTTGGGACGCGCGGAGGCGGCGATGGACTACCTCAAGTCAGTATCTTGGGCCCATCATGGGCACAGTCACAGACTCACCGGGACGAGCCTCCGCCCATATTGCGAATCAGCTTTGGCGTTGAGTTCTTGACCGACGGAAAGTCGGGCGCTCCCAACGATGCATAGAAAATCACGTCCATGTTGGCATCTCACAACACCACCGCATCCTATATGAAGTCGAAGAGGGAGAGCAAACATCGAGGCTCATCGTCAACCAGGCTGGACTTACGTATTTCGCATGCCTCGCATCGTATTTCGTGTCTGCATCAACCAGCTCAGCTGAAAGCCTTGGCAACACGCGTTATCAGACGTGGCTTGCGCCGGCGAATCAAGAGGAACGGACGGTGTGGCGGTATGTGTTCCCCGGACTGGAGCCGTTCTCGACGTTGTGAGCGCCACCGAGGATCCCGTCCATCATGGGACGCGTGCGGGGTACTGGGGTATGATCCTCTGTTCTGTGATCAGGTGCATGTGGGAATAGCTTGGTGCATCATTGGAATATTTTGGTAGTGATTGTGAATGTAAAGGTGTTGTTTTGAGTATTCAATATGTACTCGGGTTGCTAGTATTTACACCCGTTCATGACGAACTTTGATCATGGTGATGCGTTCCATGTAGAGTCGCCTGCCCAAACGCCATGCCTCCGTCCTTGAAAATGCAAGCTGCCAATTTGTGCAGCTTCAGCTCCCGTCACGTGTTAAAAACGTTTCCTTGTGATCCCGCCGAATAATGTCCTTGATCGCTGTAGAACGCCGTTGCCGATGCTGAGGTTGATCCATTCTCCGATGGTGTTGAATGTTGTGATGATGTTGTGGTGATAAAGGAAAGGCTGAAGTGATTGTACTGAGACATCGAGGTCGGTCAATCCTTAATTTTGGGATTCGTAGACTGCCATCGCCTTTTCTAGCTCCTCGAGACTCGATCGGTCGCCGTAGGCGTCCATGAGTTTTGCCGCCCGCATGCGATCTTCAATTGCCTGCTTCTCCGCCGCGGCGTTCTTTGCTCGGCGACGTTCGACCGCGCCTTCTCGGTAGGCGTTGAGGCCGTAGCCAACGGCGACGACTGCTACTGTGGGCGGGATCCTATTATGCCGGATTCGTCAGTTCCAAACTCTCTCAGTTGCGGTTGTGGTGTTTTACCCCGGGATTCGGGGGAGCCGGGAAGAGGGGGAATGGGTGCCAGGTTGGGGTGTTAGGACCGAATCAGAAATCAAAGACGTACCATCTCATGGCGAGTCGACGGGGAGTTTGCAAAAAGTAGCTCGGCGGCATGCGAGCGTTGGTTGTGAAGTTTCTTGAAGCTTGTCTGAACATTGTATGTTGTGGGATCAGGTATCTCAGTAAGGGATGGTGTGTGGGATGGGGATGAAATCGGTATTTGTATCTTGGTTACGTGTGGGTTACAATCGCAAGGGATGATTAGATAGATCTCTCGGGCTAAAAGCAAGCGTCTTGGTGAGGAGGTGGCAGCGGCAAGCAATGTATTCATATAACGTCCCGTCTCGACCTTTCGCGCCGCGCCAATCTTGTGTCTGAGAACCCCGTCACCCCCAGCCGTTCCCTCCCCCATGGCCAAGGGGGGCCAAGCATGGCATGGCACTGCCCGCCCACACAGTACCCAACAGCACTTGCGTAGTGCGTACGGTAGGTTGAGATGAGCATGGAGCGGTATACCGTACGGTACGTACGGTACAAGGCATCTCCGCAGGGGAGGGAGGCAAAACGGGATTCGCGGCCAGAATGAGAATCAGTGTGACACCAGCATCGCACCACGTTCAGCAGCGGCCCCAATTGGGCATGGCGTCGACATCGTTCCAGAGTGTCGATTGTGGGGTGATGTCGACCGATATGCGGGGTGGAATCGGCACAGCCCGGGTGCAGTAACGTGATGCCGCTGGGGACAAGACTGGACCTTTGCTTTCTCTCTCTCTCATCATTGCTGCAGCGCTACGGATACAGTGCTGTACGTTGTCCTCAAGGAGAGAAGGCGCTCATCATTATTGCCGTACCAGGGGAGTTCCTGGAAGGCGTCTGGGGAACTTGGTTTTGAAGGCTACTGCTGGTTCGCTGGAGCTTTGCAAAACGCTCGAGGTGGTTGAGGAAGCCCCTTGTTTGTGCATCTTTCGTGCATCTCCGTCCATCTATTGATCCTGGACCATCCAAGCACAGCCCCCGCAGACTTGTTTTGGCTTTGGCTGGTGTGGTAGCTACTCCTCACGTGCCCGATGCTGCCAGAGTCAATGCTCTCAATCCTCGTGCCTGTGTGGTTTGCGACTTGCTTGCTTGCTTGCTACTAACGGCATTTGCAGTCGGCGTCTCGCCACACACAAGACCGACTGACAACCATAAGTGGAAGCATTGACCAGACGGAGGACGGCCAGCGGAGTCCTCCGTTGCCGTAATGTCTTCCGATGCTGGTGGCAGCTGTTGAGAACCGTGAGATTATGACATGTGCGGATACAATAATCGGCAAGTAACTTCGGGTGTGTGGCTTACCGGGATCATTTTGTTGGTGATCGAAACAATTCGATTTTTTCAGTTCCTAATTTTCGATCCGTATTTTCACTTGACACTGGCACCCGAACTTATTATCGTGACCCCATTCGCAGAGCCTATCTGTAGCCCGTATATCTAGATGTTCTCCATCGTGGACGATGGAATAGCCGATTCCACCCGCGAAAACCAGTAGGCTCCACCCAAGTTTATCCCGAAAGCTCGTCACATAGCCGAAAACCCTCGTTGATGTCATCTCTGGTCCCTGGATTTCTATCTCTAATCCCAATTTCTCCTATTTCCTTCTCTGGCAAACAACCCTGTTCACACCTTGACGCTTAGCCTG